TTGTAATATAAAAAAAAAGATTGCATCTGACATTCAGCACAAGATATGGGGAGTATGAATTACTGTTTGCCTATTCTGTGAATAGTTTTCATTTTATGTTTTTCTATTTTTTCTTCCCCTGCAGACAGGATTTTTACCAAATATATTTAAAGTGTTGTCTCACCGGCCATTGGAATTCAGAGCCTTCTTTGCTTATTACAATGCAATCATCAACAAAGAAACAGGTAATTGGGGGAAGAAACATGTTGAATATTTATTGGATGAGATCCATATGCCTGTTTGCTCTAGTGGCCATTCTTACAAAGTCCCAAAACACTGTGGAACTAAGGAGAAGCTTAGAAAGACTGTAACTGTAGCATTTGGATTCTGAAACCAAGGGCTGAATGTAACTTATGATGATAGGTAGAGAGCTAAGGTAAATAAGGTAATAACTCGGGCTCATTATTCTTTCTTTGGAAATAAAGCCCTCTAAGTCTCCCTCCAGCTCCCTAAATAAAGTTCAGGGATTTTAACTTGGCAACCATAAGTTACTTACTTTGGATTCAGGTTAAGTTGTTGTTACCAAGACTTAAACATTGGTTTAAACAAAATGTTTTGCCCCTTATGTCACCTAGTAGGCCATATGTGAGCTGCTAAGGAATAGTGTAGTGTTGTTGACTGGGTTGTTTCTGCCTGCTCATTCATGCTGGCTTGACACTGCTCGCGGCAGAGAGGAGGAGAGGCCCTTGCAGATGTATGTCATTTCCCTTTAAAGTTGTAACATGGACATAAGAGATAAGACCTATGACCAGAACTTAGTCATACTATCACATCTACTTGCAAGGGAAGCTGTGTGACCATGTAGCTGTCTAAAAATCAAGGGGTTGTATTACTAAGTAGGAAAAGGAGAGAATAGGTACCAAGAAACAGTCTAATGACCCTCCATGGTCTAACACCAGCCTCTCCTCTCCCCCAGCTCCTTGTGTTCTGTCAGTTGGAGTCAAAGCATTTAAGTCTCAGGGCGTCTTTGCTTTTAAATTTTACTGACATTTTACAATGCCCCAGAATGCCTTTTTTCCCCCCCTCTCCATGCTTTGGAATATGAGCTTTCTTTCACAGTCCATCTCACCTCACCTGCCTTTACTCCCCTGAGCTCACACAACTATCTTCATCTATACTTTTCCAGTGGCAATACAGATGATGTCTGTCCTATCTTTCCACAGTTTGTGTCTTTCTCTCTAGTAAGACACCCTGTTTTTAGAACTGAGTTCTGCCATAAACAATGCACATAAACTTCACCAGAGTACTTAAATGTCTCAAAGCCTTGCTTTCATTACTAGCAAAATGGAGTTAATACTAACTGGTATTATTGGTACTGCTGGTATGTAAAATGGTATTAATAGTAATACACTGCAGAGCTGGTGTGAGAATTCAGTGAGATTATAAATATACAGTTATAGAATGGTATCACTTTCCAAAGTGGATTACCCCCTGCCTCTTAAGTAGTAGGTCTTTTGAGTTTAGGAAATCTTTTCTTGAAACTTCACGTTTTAAAAGTTACTCTAGTTTCTGCTAGGCTTCAGAAAATGTCTCTTGAATTTAGTAATTTATTAAATGAATATTTTCTGAGCAGCCACTGTATGCCAGGGATTCCTCTGGGTGTATAATGGTGTCATAGGTCATATAATCAAACATCCTAGAGTGGAGGAAACAGCAAATAACTGAACTTTTTTAAAAGTTGACTTCAGAAAGTGTTGACAATTATGAAGAAAAGAAAATAGAGTTGATAGTGAGGGGCTGGGAATGAATACATAACTGAATGGGTAGGTAGTAGGTTCTTCTAAGCTGCTGTTCAGAGCTTGAGTCCAGGTCTCTTCTCACCTTCCCCAGGCCACCTCAGTAGAACGGACAAGGAACTCATCATTATGGTGACCAGTCTGGCTGACAGGTGCTTATATAATATGGTTGTCCACAGTGCCTGGTACAGGATCTTTTCAAAGAACCCAGTGCTCTCTGATCAGGTTAGTGTCTGTATCCTCTGTGCACTTTTAGGCCCTTTCTATATCTGAGGAAAGGGAAAAACCTACTGTATGGTCCAGGGAATACACCTACAGGTCTTCCCATCCAGTCCCATCACTGTGCCAGCCTGCTTCTATGTATGCATGATGTTTGGGATTAGCAGAACCCCATCTCTGCTCCAGACTTGATACTGGATCATTGGCATACAGTGCTTGAAAATATATACTAACTCTCACTCTAAATTGAACCTTAAAACCATTTTATATTTGAGGTCAAAGTGTGTCCTTTTCTACTCCAATCTGTCCTTTGCCCTTTCCATAGTGAATTTATACTATCCAGTATTACTTTCAGTGGGCCCAAACCAGTTTCTTAGGTTTTCTTTTATTTCTTGGTGTTGACCCCATGCCTGGTCCTTCTGCCTTACATTCTGTAGCCACCTCCATCTACTCTTTTCTACCAGCACTGGTTGTGAAATGAGTCTGTCTCTCAAGCAACAACTTTCTCATTGCTTCAGCCAAAATTAGGTGCTTTGGATGTCAGAAGTCATGCTAATTCTTTTTAGAGCAGTTGAATGAGAATAAGAATCAGTGGACCTGGGTTTGTCATTACACTTACAAAACCCTACTTATAACTACAGTGATGTCCTTGATCCTCTGGACTAGGAACGGAAATATCACGTGTGCATTTATTCCTGAGGTCATCAATCTTCCCACATTATATACTTCCCTTCAGACTCCATATGAGTGGAGACTTTGTACAGTTTCCCAGGTACAAAGTTGACAGCGTAAAGATAATGTTAAGACAGGTACATCATCTGCTTTGTTTTAATGAGCACCTCATGCCTAGTCGCTAGACCTGCACCTATCCAGGATCTGTCTCGCAGGTATTGTCTCCCTAAATGACCAATGGAGTGCTGCCACATCATAGTTTGTTGTACTGTTACTCTATTCTTAGCTGTTTAGTGGTCTCCAGTATTTTGCTTCAGCATGAGTAACAATTATTAGTGTAGTTTTTGGAGTTTAATATGCTTGGGTTCAGATTCCATCTCTGCCACTCTGTGTGACCTTGATGAAGTCATTTTATCCTCTCTGAGCATCTTTTGCCAATAAAACTGGGATGAAAATAGAAAATACCACTTCTTAGAGTTTTTATAAGAAATAAGGGCCCTCCTGGTGGTACAACAGGTTAAAGTGCAGCACTATGAAGCTCTTGGCAGTGACTGCATCACCAGTTTGATCCCTGGCTGGGGAGCTGACCCACATGGCATGGCAGACCTCTCCTGATCCACCCGCTGCTCCTCTCAGCAGTGTTTTTCAGTCAGTCCACCTGTTCTGCTCCCACTGTGTCACAACTCCTTCATCTCTGGCCTGTATCACAGTTCTGTAGGCATAAATAAATAAATAGATTTTTTTAAGATTTTTATTTATTTATGTGTACAGAACTGGGTACAGGCCAGAGGTGCAGGGTCGGTGAGAGGCTTCACCAGAGACAGTGGGGAGCAGAAGAGGCAGATCAATGAAGTGCATTGCTGAGGGGAGCAGGAGGGTCAGGAGAGGTCTGCTGTACCATGTGGATCACCTCCAGGTGGGGATTGAACTCATGCTGAAGTGGTTTTAGCTTCTTAGTGCTGTGCTTTAACCCGCTGCGCTACCAGGCAGGGCCCAATAAAGATTTTTAAGAAAAGAAATAAGGGCTCTCCCTGGTGGCACAGGAGGTTAAAGCACCTCGTTATGAAGCTCTGCGAAGCCACTGCAGCATGAGTTTGATTCCCCAGCCAGGGAACTGACACATATGGCATGGCAGACCTCTTCTGACTCACCCGCTGCTCCCCTCAGCAGTGTACTTTGTCAATCTGCCTGTTCTGCTCCCCATTCTGTCTCTGGTGAATCCTCTCACCAACCACACCTCTAGCCTGTACTCCAGTTCTGTAAGCATAAACAAATAAATATTTTTTTAAAAAAAAGAAAGAAAAGAAAAGAAATAATATGAAGCATGCAGTACATTCTTAGCATGTAGTACTTTAAGTGCCTTTTAATTTTGCAAATATTGTATTGTTTGATTAATTGAGAACAAAAGGACAATTATCTGAGCTTCACTTGTCTCATATGTAAAGGTTGGGACTTGGGGTTCTTATGTGCTAAGAGTCTCTGAGTCTTGGTTCTGAGATTTTTGATGCCACAGGTTTTTAGAGGAGAAAAAGATGCTTGCAGTTGGAATGAACAAAGAAAGTTTTCTGGCAGAGGGGGTGCTAAGCCAGACTTCTAAGTTTGCATCCTATTTGACTTTACTAACATACTTACCCATCTGAAAAACTTATTTTTAAAAAAGATTTATTTATTTATGCATTTACAGAACTTGGGTACAGGCCAGAGGTGCAGGGGTGGTGAGAGGATTCACCAGAGACAGTGGGGAGAAGTACAGGCTGACTTACAAGGAACACTGCTCAGAGGAGCAGCGGGAAGGTCAGGAGAGGTCTGCCGCACCATGTAGATCACCTCCAATTTGCTGTATCATGAGAGAGTCTGCCTTTTGTTAAGATTTAGTTATTTATGCATATGAGAACTGGAGTGTAGGCCAGAGGTATGGGGGTGAGAGGATTCACCAGTGACAAGAGTGGGGAGCAGAACAGGCAGATCTACTGAAATACACTGCTGAGGGGAGCAGTGGGCAAGACGGGAAAGGTCTGCTGCGCCATGTGGGTCACCTCCCTAACCAGCCAGGAGTCAAACTTATGCTGCAGTGGCTGGTGATAGCTTAAGACCCACATCCTGATTTGACCCTATGTTTTCTTTGCAGGTTTGTATGAACTGGAGAAAGTCTGACCTCTCTGCTCGGGAAAAGGCAATGCTGGAGTTTGCACTTGCTATTTCCCAAGCTGATGACATAACAGATGACCATTTCAAAAAGCTCAAGGTACATGGCTTCAACCAAGAAGATGCCTGGGATATAGCTGCCATTGTAGCTTTTTATGCCATGTGCAACCGCCTTGCTCTTTTTGTCAGTCTTGTCCCCAACAAGGAATTCTATTTGATGGGCAGAACTAGTGATGTCAGGAGAGAACCTGCTGCCCCCAAAATATAAAAGCCTGACTATAAGAGGTGCTGTATATATAAAGTATATTGCATTATATCATTTGGGAAGCAACTTTTTAAAAATACTAGTCAGTGGATCGTTAAATAAATTTGCTCCCTATCTTCCTAAACACTTAGATGGGATAAATTGTAAGTGTTATGGGTGTGCAGGGACAGAGGATATGGGCCTAGAACATACATTATAGGAAACCTTTGCCAATTGTTTACTTTTGTTGTGGTTTAAGGAGTATCGGGGACAAGGACTTCAAGGATGCTTCAGGCATTTCTGACATTAATACCTATAAATTTCAGCAATTTGAGTTTATATTGTAGCTTTCAAAAATAGTATTACATAGAAACTGGTCACTAGACTGATTTGAAATCAAATCCTTGTTAACTTGGTGTACTTTGAACACTCACAGGCAGTGAGTAAATAGCAGGCACAGTTAAAGAAGTTTTAACTTTAGTGTTTTCTTAGTTAATTAACTTCTAGTGATTTAGTTTTACTGACAGGTTGTGAAATCATTGTCATCTTAGTAAAGGTTTCATTTTAGATTTAGGCGGGGAGGGAAATGGAGTAATTGAACATGAACATTCTAAGTAGAAGCATAACAAGAAAAAAAGACCAGCAGCTGGATGACTTGTTCTTTGTGTATCTTAAGTCTGTTACTGTCTTAACTTTCAAGAATTATTTTCATTATTCAACTGATAAGAGTTAAGTACAAACCTACACAATGTTTTTGTTCCCATTTACCTTTTCTAGATTCTCTAAATTGTCTGTGAATAGCTCTTAATCAGTTCTGGGGGCTCCAATAAATTTTGGATAAGCTGAACTTGAAATCTGAATTCTATATTCAGCCAATATAATAACCCCATTGCATAGGTTATACTTTTGGCACTACTGTAAATACCTTAGCATATATAACCTTTTAAAATTTAGTTCAGTTCTACTGATTTTAAAAAGTTAATAACATTGGTGAATGTATCAAGACCAAAATTTTGTTTTAGTTATTGGCCATATATGGGATCAAGCAGAGGGTCTCTACTAAGTATTCGTTGCAGCCAGAAGTTGAGTCATTAAAGAGATATTATTTGTAAATCATAAAACAGACTTCAGTTTCTTTTGCTCTGTGGGGGTACCATGGGGAGTATCTCCAAAGGAATGGCTTCCTCCATCTTTGAATTCATGTTTGATGCTTGCTCTCTTTTCCTAGCTTCTCATACACAGGAGAGCTGAACAATTAACTTTCCTGGTAGCAAAATTGCTAAATGGTTAGTCTTTTCTGAATTTCATTCCCTTCCTTCAGGTATTCTTCAGATTTAAGATTTACCCTTACAGGATGGGACTTCCTACAGAGTAAATTCTCCAGATTTACCCTCATGTTCACCAGATATAAGCTTTCTACAATATAGCTCTTGATCCAGACCCAGAATTGTTAGTTGGTATATGTATCTCTCCTTGTACCTCAAGATTTTTATTTAAAAATTTTTTAATTTTTATTTATGCATACAAGAACTGGGTTGTAAGCCAAAGGTGTGGGCAGTGAGTGGATTCACCAGAGATAGAGTGGGGAACAGGCAGGTCTACTGAAATACGCTGAGGGGAGCAACAGGTGAGACAAGAAAGGTCCAAGGATCCAACTCATGTAGAAGTGGCTGGCGATAGCTTAACAGTGCTAAGACTATGCCCTGCTGCGCAACCAAGAAGGCCACCCCCCCACCCTCACCCCCCCCCACACACACACCCCAAGCTTTTCTTTGTTGAAGACTCTGCTTTCCTCCGCAAGGAATATTCCCTCTTAATCCTTAGATGCCAGTGTTATGTATTTATCTTCAGTGACATCAGTGAAGGACTTTTTATCTGTGATAACCACTATGCCCTGCCTGGTAGATATAAGGGTTCCATTGCTTGTTAGGTTAATTTGATTAAGATTTCTGGCTTCCTTCAGTTGTTCCTGTCTGGGATAGTCTTCGTGAAAAGAGGTAGAGTTTGACCTACATAAAATCCAGAATTACTGGAAGTAACTCGGAATTTGGCAGATACTCCAGGCACTGTTATGGACCACGGTTTCTTAGTACAAAAAATAACCTGGTCCTACTACTAGGCTAAGTAGGCAGAGTAACCCACACGTGCTGTGGTAATTTCTTCGCCTTACTGATCTCAGCGGAAAGTGGAACAGCGCAGGAATCGTATACTTGAGCTCACAGTCACTGACAACTCCAGACTCTTAGACCATGCTTATATGCCAACTGCTCTTTACAGCCTGAACCGGAGAATCTTCGGGCACCCTTAGCGCTTAATTTGCACCCGACCTCCGTTCCCTGGGACCTCCGTTCCCTGGGACTTCGGCCAGTAGGTGGGCGGTGTCTCCGCTTTCCCAGTCCCCGGCGGATGGTGTCCGGGCCCGGCGCGGGTTTTCCAGCCGGCGAGGTTAGGCAGCAGCACGCCGGAAGTGGCGGCTGGGGCGGGAGCGCTGAGGTGTCGGCCGACGGGGCTGCGGCCGGGAACAGGGGGCGGGGGCGTTGGTTATGTTTCCCTTCGGGCCGGGTAGCCCCGGAGGGGATGGGGCGACCGGAGCGGGGGACGAGGACCCGGCGCCTCAGGGGGAGCAGGCCCCAGGCGCCGGGCCTCTCCCTCCCCTGCCCGCACCGCCACATCCCGGGGCTGACGCAGCCCCTCCTCCGTCGCCCGCCCGAAGTCCTCGCCGCCCCGGCGCCCCTTCGCTGTCCCCGGGCGCGCGCCCGCGCCCGGGGAAGCTCGGGCCACCGGGAGCTCTGGAGTCTTCGGCCGCTTCAGCGCAGGGAGAGAAGTCACCGCCTTCCCCGCCGCGCCGGCGAAGCGGGCCAGACAGCAAGTCTGGGAGCCGGGGCCAGCACGGCCTCAGTGCCGGCCTGTGCGGCCCCGGGGCCCGGCTGTTCGGGTGGCTGAGAGAGCGCAGCCTGGGCCGCGGGCTGTTCGTGGACCCCGCGCGGGACAATTTCCGCACCATGACTAACCTCTATGGTTCCATCCATCCCGCGGACTCGGTGTATCTCAGCACCCGCACCCACGGTGCCGTCTTCAACCTCGAATATTCACCCGACGGGTAAGCGCGGCTCCTCGGAGGGCGGGTATCCACCTCCGCCTGGCTTTGCTGCCCGTGGACGGCTGTCCGGAGTTTGCCAGCCGGGTTTGGCCAGGGTTTGCAAGTCCGTTCGTGGCCGCGGGCCTTTGTAGCTCCCTGGTATTTTCTGTAACGCTCCCTGGCTGTTAAAGGCCCCATTCCTGGCCCTTTGAGCCAAACAGACCCGGGGTTCTTGCTCACTTTCAGACCATGGAGGCTCCATGAAGGAGAAATGCCTGAAGTCGCCAGGCAGATCCGGACCTAGGGTTTTCTGGTACATAGTAGGTGCTCAGTAAATACATTTAAAATAAAGGTCCATTCTCTCCCTGACAGCCTGGGTTTGTGTTCGCAGCTAAGTTTGTGTTCAGACAAACTGAAGATTCCCTGTACCCTGTGCTAACTTGTCATGAGGGGCAAGAGTGCGTTGTTTTCACCAGTAAGATACCAAGATGTTGCAGAGAGGCGTCTTAGGATGTGGAACGTTGTGAAGTTAACAGGCTACAGTTCAGGTTTCTGTTTTAGAATATCCAGCCTTTTGCCTGGCTATGTCATGCTTCGTCGTGGTTTGCTCTGGGCCATGGGGTATTTTCCAAATAAACAGCATATATTTTTACATTGTTTTATGATCACAGAGAAGAGTTCAATAATCAAAAGGAAAAAAAATATACATAGTTTCACCAGAGAGGACGTATAATTCTTTCCTGATTAAAACCTCTAGATTCCTAGTCATTTGCTTAGTTGTTCATTTATTCTCTAGTTCAGCAAATAATGTGTTGAGCACTTGCTATGTTTCAGATGCACAAGTTGCAATGGTGAGCAAAATCAGCTAATGGCATTGACTTTACTTGAGCCTGGGACTCAAGTGCTCACTAGATAATAGCTAATCATACTAAATAAATTTGTAGTGTATATTTGCAAATTGAGATGAGAGCTTGAAAAAGAAATCTGTTGTGGACTAGAGTGTTTAAGTTTTCCCTGAGACTATCACATGGAAGTGACACTTGACCTGAGATGAAAAGTTAGTAGAAAAAGAATTAATCAAGATAGGTTTGGGGAGGAAATAGATGTTTTCAAATTAAGGAATTGGAACCTCATCCTATATTTAGAGGAACAGCAAGGTTAACAAAACAAAAATCTTTACTAAAGAAAAACCAAAAATGTGCTAACGAAGAACTAAGCAACAGAATCTGGAACCTAAGATCTGTAAACAGATACACTATTCCATTTCACAGATGAAAATGTTTATTCCAATCATATTTGGTGTTGGGATCTCTGAGGTTTCTCTTAGGGTGGAACTGTACCAATGAATGTGCACATGAATACAGGAGAAATGATGAGAGAAGAAACTATTTTGCTGAAGAGTATTCATAAATCCTTCCTCCACTTCCAACCCAAAGCCTCTTCTTAAAGCTCCTCTCAAATTACCAAGAGTGTTCCTCATAAACATTTAGATGCTCTTTTCCATATCCTAGCCTTTCACACATCCCCAACCTCCCATCTGTTCTGGATTTTATGTAGAGGCTGAGAAAGATACAATGAGCTATGACAGTAGTATTAGAATGAGGAATATATTGCTAATAGTTCTTGTTTGAATCTGGACTACATTTTCCCAAAAGTACATTTTTGTGACAGGTGGTTAGGTAAAGTTAGGAAGATTTTGGATACTTATTAAATTGCCCTCAGTGGAGAAAATACCAGCTCTCAATTCCTTGGCATGTATAAAAAGTGCCTGTCACCCTATACTGATGCCAGCATTGCACATTGTCATTCTTCATCAATGTCAAGGTGATATGTGAAAATAGCTCAGTGTTTTAGGTTTTTAACATTCTTTCTACATCCATATGCCCCAAATCTTTATAGGAATTAATTTTATAGAAAGATAAAATGTCTGTAGTAATGAGATGAT